TACTAAGATTTTCAACGTTCTAAATTTTTTTTTCTTCAATATTTAAAAAAAATTATTGTATTAATTACAAAAGTAGTGTAAATTTATCACTAACGAAAGAAAGAATGTTAATAATTTGTAATTTAAATGAATCTTTTTTCTGCATGTACTTTCCCACGTCAAAAAATTATCAGAGATGCAAATTTGTAATTTAATTTTCGATTCAACTTTGACTTCGACTTTCACTTTGATTTCCATTTTTCACGTGACTTTGATTTTAACTTTTATTTTGATTTTTAAATTATTTTCGCAAAACTATTCTAATTTTTTCATTTTTTTGAATAAAAAAAAATTTTTTGCCGATTTTTTCCAAAAGAACTCCAAGGAATTTCCGCTAAAATTACCGATAATCTTTTCCACGTGGGATTCATTATTGTCATGCAGTTTGAATAACGTGATATGTAAATAATAATGTAGAAGGGTTAATCTTACAGTGATCGCGATAAGCTCGTCTTATACAACAAAAAAAAAACATGTTGCATATTCTTAAACTGAACATTTAAGAGAAAAAAATGTATATTTTTCTTTAAAAATCCTTTAATAGAGGTCAAGTAAAATTTAAAATTCGTTAACTTATATTTTCCTATATTAATTGTCTTACAATCTCTAATTTTTCACGATAAGTAATTAAAAAAAAATAATAATTAGTGGGATGAAAATAAAATTTTCTAATTCTTCAACGGGAGACTATATCGATGCGGGTACTTTATAAGTTTATTTAATAAATCATCTTTTTTAATTTAAAAAAATTGTAAAAAATTACAAAAATTGTAAAATAATTACAATTATTATTATATTAAAAAATGTGAATTTTAAAATAGTAGATAATTTGAGATAAAGTGAGAGTGGCTATGCTATAAATTTCAATTTTTTTTTACAAATTGTACAATGTAAAGAAAATAGAAATAAAAAAAAAGATAATAGAAAAATAAACAATCTAAAGATAATAGAATTATAAACAATATGAAGATAATAGAATTATGAACAATATAAAGATGATAGAAATATATAGACACAATAAATGTATGAAAAGTAAAAATTAAAAAATTTCATACCAAGATGATTGATGCTGTGCGTTAACAGAGTGCTCCGATTAAAATGAAAGTTCAATTATTAATTATTAACTATTATACTATCGAATTAATTTTCACCTGTAAATACGCAGAGATAATTTTCAGTCGATCAAGTAGTTGTAAAAAAAACTGTTGTAGTTGCAGATAAAGTTAGTGCCTATTAAGGCTTATTCGTTGATTAGTTGCTAAAAGAATTGAGAAGCGAGAGTAAAAAAAAAGAAAAAGTTTTATAACATTTACTCCCGTATATTGCCGCAGTACAAACGACTGAGACTTAAAGTAAAATTAATCCAAGTATTTAAGTATCTACAATGTTATTATATATAATATCACACAAACTCGTCTATATACAATGTATATCCTTCGAATAACTAAAAACATCAAAGACTCAAATGCAAAAAAAGAAAAAAAACTCAAAGAGTTAAAATTAAAAATAATTAAAAATAATGAAAAAAAATTAAAAATAATCTTTTTTTACTGAATCGAAACATTTCTCTTGTACTCTAAATATTACTTTTATGTACCTTACGATTTTATATTTTTACTTCAAATTAAACCTACATTATTTAAAATAATAAAAAAATATTAAATAAAATTAATAATTCTAAATGAAAATAAAAAAATTTTTTTTTGTAATTTTGAGTCTTGATTGTATATTTAGAGTTCTTTTTTAATGTTATCATTGTTTTCCCATTGATTATTTTCCATTACAAATAATTTTCAATTTTCCAACATTTAAATGAACAAAAAGGATTGAAATAACACTTTCAATTCTGGATATAAATATTAAATTGTATAAATTATTCACTTTATTCACTTTTTCCACTTTTTTCTTCTTTCATTATTAGAATTTTTTATTACAGATCCTAAAGTTTGCAATTTTCAAATGAAACGATAAATGAAAATTTATTTATTTCTTTTTCAAAATTAAAATACACAATAATTTTTTTAATTTGAAAAAATTAATTGCAAAGTTTCTAAATGTAAGAGTTAAGTTTACAATTTTTATTGCAATCGGTAATTTATGTAAATATTTTCAATGGAAAATATTTGTATTAAGAAATATTAAAAGAAAATATTTTTAATTGAAAATTTTTTTTATAGAGTATATTTTTAATAAAGAATATTTTTAAATTTTAATGAAAAATATATTTAATGAAGAATATTATTAATAGGAAATCTTTTTAATAAAAAATATTTTTAATAGAAAATCTTTTTGATAAAAAACATTTCTCATACAAAATATTTTTTCTACAAAATATTTTTCATACAAAATATTTTTTCTACAAAATATTTTTCATACAAAATATTTTTCATACAAAATATTTTTTTTACAAAATATTTTTTCTGCAAAATATTTTTTCTTCAAAATATTTTTTTCTATAAAATATTTTTCTACAAAATATTTTTAATATCAAATATTTGTAATACAAAATATTTTTAATATCAAATATTTGTAATACAAAATATTTTTAATACTAAATATTTGTAATACAAAATATTTTTAATATCAAATATTTTGATTCAAAAGTAGGTTCTAAAAAGAATATTGTTAATAGAAAATATTTTGAATAGAAAATATTTTTAGTAAAAAATATTTGTATTAAGAAATATTAGTAGAAAATATGTTTACTAAAAAATATTAATAGAAAATATTTCTACTAAAAAAAATTTGTAATAAAAATTACTTTTAATAAAAATTTTTCCAATACGAAATATTTTTAATACAAAATATTTGTAATCAAAAGTTTTTTGTAATAAAAGATAGTTTTAATTAAAAAATATTTTTAATGATTGGGGTATTCTTTCTAAAATATAATTTCTAAATGTTTGTTATGCAATCAAGTTTTTATACTTTAATAAATTGAAATTTCCGAAAAAATTCATTGTTTCTTTTATTTGAATATTATTATTATTATTTTATTTGTATTAAAAAATACAGTTTTTATGAAAAAAAAACGTTTTTAAAATCATAAATTGTTAGAAAAATTTATTTTTGAAATTAAAATTTGTGGGGAAAATATACTTTTGGAACCACAATTGATTAGAAATATTTTTTATTGAAAAGTTGTTTCATTGATAAGTTTTTTGATTAAAAGCTCGTTTTAGAAAAGAAGGATTAGAAAATATTTTAAGAAAAAGATCAGAATTTTAAAAAATATTTCCTAATCTGGTAACAGAAAAATATTTCGTTTATTTGAACGTTAAAAACTTCAGGATCATATTTATTAATTTTTCTTTCAACTGATTTTAAAATTAAAATTAAAATTGAGTTCAAAAATTAAAATAAAAAAAATTTATAGGTTATTCAAAAAATATTTTCTAATGCTTTCCAAAAAAGCTGACAATTTTTTTCTCTTTGTAAAAAGTAAATTGAAAAAAAAACTTTACTATTTTACACAATAATTTCCATCCATTCGACAAAAAATAAGACTTTTGATATATTTTATATTGTTGATGGCTATAAATGCTTCTCTAATGGTGCTATATATTTGAGATAAATTTTCAAAAAAGACTTCATTTTTATATATACAAAAATTATAATATATCTTACTCTCTCTCTCTCTCTCTACACCTTTTTTATCATCCCTTAAAAATGCCTTTGTTATCATTTTCACCAATAAATTATAATTTATTTTATGACAATATTCATCTACGATTTTGTTAACGACCATTAGGTCGAATTTACATATTTTATAAAACTGGAACATTGTTTTATTGTTACCAGTCGTCGAGGCTTCATAGAGGATGTATTTTTTTTATTTTTTAAAATAAAAAAATAATTAATAATAATAAATATAACAGTCTTAATAATTAATTAATTAATAAAAAAAACAGTTTTAATTTATAAGCCACACTCGATTATCATAAAAAAAAAAGTTTTGCGACACTGTGATTCGTGCGAAAGAAAGAAATTTTTCTTGCGAAAAATTAAATTAAGATTTTTTTATTGTGATATATATTATTACATATATATGGATTATATACTCGTCTAGGCGCATTTATTTATAAAGTGGATAAACAAATAATCCATCTGAATTATTTTTTTTCATGTAAATAATATTTATTTTTAAGGGTTCAGGGTATCGCAAATTTTGAATTTCATTTTTTTTTCTATAGAAAAATTATGTACTCAAGATATTTTCACTATTTATGAATAAAATTTTTCTTTTCTACGCCTTAAAAAAATTCTTTTTACATTTTTTCTCGCTCCTATTCATAAAAATATCGATTTTACTGGAGAAATATTATTTCTTCTACGTGGCTTATTGCACAAATAAATTAATAAAAAAAAAACAAATTTCCTATTTGTTGATTTTTTCGACAAAAAAAAATTTTCTGATACAAATTTGAATTTTTGTAAAAATTTGACAAAAATTTGACAAAATTAAGGATGATAGGTAAGAAAATATTTTCGTTCTGAAATTTTTCACAGTAAATAAAAATTTGCCCATGAATCTAAATATACCCTACGAATAATTGTATAAAAAAATTGATGCAATTTGACATGTTGGCCACAAATTTCAATTGAAAAAATTCAACTATTTAAATTTATTTATTTACTATTTAAATTTTCTATTTAAATTTATTTATTATTCAAATTTGTTTATTAATAAATTAATTATTGAAATCTATTTAAATTAAAAACTATTTAAATTTATTTACTATTTAGCTAATTGAAAATTAAGATTTTTATTTGTTTCTAATTTTACTTATCGGAATAAGTTAGGTAATTAAAATTCCGTATTTATTAAAAATTGTACATTATCATAAAGCCGAAAGTAGTGTAAATATTCTCTAGAAATTTTTATTTTTAGTCTATTAGTAGTATTTTTTCGACATTTTATTTTTTGGTAATAAGAATTTTATTTTTGTTCTATCCTTTAGCTCCCAATGACCATTTTCAACTTTTAATGCGGCAACCCTATAAAGGATACAAACAAAGTAAGTATCTGTAGATAGATGCAATTTATATAATAACAATTAATTAAGAAATTGATTATTATGAATATATAAATTATCAAAAAAAAAATTTGTGGCCATCATGTCCGATATTTTGTCCTTTGCGATCGCACTTAGTACACTGTATATATTTTATTTAAAAAAACCATTATTTCTTTATTAAAATTTATTTATATAATAATTGAAGAACTTCAATATTATTTTTCACTGGCAATTTTAAAAATTTAAAGAAATATTGACATTACTTTCAATATTTGATTAAATATGAAATGTATATTAAAATAATTCATATTATATTTTTTTGAAAATGAAAAAACTTCAATTATTATTGAACATTGTTCTCCAAGTCTTGAATTAATTATGAACTATTGTAACGAATGTGTGTTTTTATATTCTTAGTATTTTTATTTTTGAATATTGATTAAAATTTAATGAAAATGAAATTATGAAAATGTAAATTAAAAGAGAAATTAAAAATAAAAATTAAACAGAAATAAAAATAAAAATTAAACAGAAATAAAAATTTAAATTAAATAGAAATGAAAGTAGAAATTAAATACAAATAAAAGTAGAGATTGACTACAAATAAAAGTAGAAATTAAATACAAAGAAAAATATAAATTAAATAAAAATAAAAATACAAATTAATTAAAAGAAAAAAATTCCAAGGAATTTTTTCGCATGTATAGAAAAAGAGAAAATAAAATTCTTTTTCAATTTCTTTTAAAAATATTCTTTTGATTTGATTTCAAAATTATTTTTTCGAATTCCTCGGATCAAAAATTGATAAAAATGAAAATTTACGATTTCATTGATAATTCGGTAATTAATTGAAACTTTGAGAACAATAAAGGATTTGTCCAGTTGCCCGGGGAAGCATTGAGAATGGTATGTTGAAAAATGTACCAAAAAAAAAACAAGAAAAATTAAGTTTTTTGTTTTCATTTAGAAATTATCCCTCTTTTTACGTTTATGTCTATATTCTCGTCTTGCACTGCATTCTACGTATAACGATACCTGTTGTATTCTGAACTGTACTAATGTGAATGAGGGCATTGCTGAGAGAACCAGAATTAAGGAACACTTTTCACACCTTGGCGGAATTTGAAGAAAAAATTTTAGGGAAAACGTAAGAAAAAATCTAAGAAAAAAGTATAAGGAAACTGTGAGAAAAAAGTAAAAGGAAAATATAAGAAAAAAGTAAGGAAAATATAAGAAAGAAATGTAAGAAAAATTTAATGAAAAAGTAAGAAAGAGTAAGAAAAAATTTAGATAAAAGGGAAAGAAAAGAGTAAAAAACAATGTAAGTAAAAATTTTTAGAAACAATGTAAGTAAAAAGTTAGAAAAAAAAAGAAAAAAGTATGAAAACAGAAAAAATATTTTTAAAAAGTTAGAAAAAAAGGAAGAAAAAAGTAAGAAAAAAATACTGAGGATTTTTCTAAACAAAATTTATTATAAAAATTGAGAGAGTAAAAATATTCTATCAAAGAATATTGAAACTAAAAATGAAATTAGAAATAAGAATATAGAAAAGCTCTATATACAATTAGAAAATTCAAAACAAAAAAAAATTGAAAATAAAGAATAATAAATGGAAAATAAAAAAATAAAAAAGAGCCACAAAAGGTATAATACACAAATTATTGCTAATAATTATTATTGCTCAGCTGCACGACTGGAATTCAACTTACTTTTCCAAAAAATCGATTCATTCTGAAGACAACCAACGTTACGGTCATCATCAAGATTTTCATTCTACGAAGATTAATAAAAATCGGTAAATGAAAACACTCTCAATTTTTTTCTCTTACTTAACACTTTCTTTTGCTGTATACTATTCATCACAATTTTCAATTTATTAGCACTATATTTCAATTTCTCTTCCTAAATTATTTCAGTGATTATTTTACCTTTCATTATTATATTAAATATGCATACAGGCCTCGGATAGAATTCAAAACGCAAATAAAAGTCTAATTTTGTCAAGAGAAAGTAGAAAAAAATTCGAAAAAGTCAAAAATTGTCAAAAAATTTTATTTTTTATTTTCCTGATTTTTTTCTGATTTCTAGAAAAATTTTAAACTATTTTCCTCTTATATTATTATTATATAAATTCATTTTTTAGTTTTTACCGAAAGTGCTTTTATTTTCAAATCATTTTTTGATATTTTTCAACAAAAATACGTTTATTAAAACCAATTGTAATAAAATAGTTTTAAATATAAAATTCATATTAATAAAATTGAACGAAATTTATAATTTCTTGAAAAGTTTTTAATTATAATAGGTAACTTTCAAAAATTGAATTATTTTCCAAAAAAAATTACATTTACAACTTTTCAAACACATAATTTCTTAGAATTTCTAAATTAAATAATTCTAACCCTATTGTTATTTATCTCCACAAAAATAAAAATTTTCGAATATTTCAATGTTAAGCATTCTGAAGTGTCATTTCTAAAAATAATTCAAACTGTAATTCTTTTAAAGTTCAATTATTTTTAGAATTTCTAACTAAAATTCTTATCTAAATCAGTAATTTTTGCTATTTTTTGAAAATGTTCTTTGAGATTTCAATTTAAAATGAAATATTACTAAAATTCAATTTTTTCTATTAAATTTTACTTCCCTAGTAATTATTTCCAATTTAAAAAAAAATTGATTTAAATTTTTGAAAATTTCTATGTAAAACCTTTTAAGATTTAATTATTTCTAAAAATTACAACTGTAATTCTTTATTTCTACTTTGAATTTAATCAATTATTAATTATAAATTATTGTAAATTATTGAAAAGTGATTTTTTTCTACAAATTTTTACTTCTCTTTTAAATTTTTTAAAAATTTAATTTAATTTTTTGATTTTTTAAACTGAAATTTATAAATTAATTATGTTTAATAACTTTTTAAAAAGTTCAATAAAAATTCAATTATTTAAATTCAGTTATTTAATTTTTTCAAAACAATTGCTCTTTATAACTTTTTTTATTTATTTATTTTATTTAGAAATTAACTTTTTTCTCTAAAAAGTTTTTAAAACGAATAAGAAAATTAAAGTTTTACGATATTTTCAAAGGAAATAAAAAAAATCAGAATTTTTATTAAATTTTCATAAATTTTGATGCTTTTCCACTGTAAAATAAAATAAGTTTGATAAAGTTCTTTAACTTCTCTGATTTCCCTGTCCTAAATCATCTCTGTTGTTGTCGAAATTCATAAAAATAAATAATAATAAAAAATTTTTAAAAAGAATGTTGAAATAATTTTTTTGAAAATTTATACTTAAATTACTACGAAAATAGAAATACGTAGCATTTTTACCCAAAAAGAGGTATTTTCTTGCAATATGTGGAAGAAAAGTTAAAATTGTCGAATTTTGGTACAAAATAAGTAAAAAAAAAAAAAAAGTTATTCTATCCAAGGCCTGTGTATTTAATTGATGTAATGCGCTACGAAGAGAGGTACCTAAGAAGAAGAAAAATTATAGGTTATGTTTATCGTCATTTTACGTTAATTGTGATTTTTTTTTTTTTTTTTTTTTTTTTTTTTTAATTTTGCAAAATCGAGTCTAACTGTATTTATGTATAATTCAATGAAGTTTTTCTAAAGATATCAAATTGAAACAAAAAACTCATCAAAACGTTGCTTCGAAACTATTTTGATACGTTTTTTGTCTCAATTTGATATCCTTAGAAACACAGTGAATAAAAAATAAAATAAAAAATAAATGAGAAAATAAAAAAAAAATAAATAATGTAAATGAAGATAATTTAAATAGTTCTAAACTTCTAAAATAAGTTTCCAGTGATGAGAGTCAATTCTCTTCGAATGTATTTTCACCTTTCGAAAATAAACATAACCTAAAATCTTTTCCTTCTCAGGTATCTTTCTTCATATAGCCCGTCACAAATATAACTATACAAAGAAGATAATTAAATTTTAAAGTAAAGTAATCACACAGAAAAATTTATCAATTCTGCGTTATGTCTTAGGTGTTCTTTCAAAAAATTAACTGCATTTCAATATTGCAATGCATTTTACTCCTCTTATATAATTAAATAAATCAGAATACAGCAGAAAGTTTGTTATACGTAGGAATAGCGAAAAAAAAAATCGTTGCGCGTAGTAGTTCCGGCAAACGAGTCACATTACCATGATCAATGACAAACCAGAGCCCCGAGCCTTTTTCTCAATATAAGACACTTGACCTTTCAGTGAAGAGTTGGTTTTTTTTTGAAAAATAACAAAAAAAAAAGAAAATAAAAAAAAATAATAATAATAACACTAGCCTTAGTTTCCTCAAAAGTGAAGATAAGAGCCCCCCCCCCCCTCGTCCCCCTCTTCTCTTCTTTCTTTAAAACGTTGACAAAATGCCACCCCCTTTCCCAAACAGCTTTCCCACCCTCACAAGCACCCTCTCTCTTTAGAAAATACCAGCATCGTACTAATGTGTCCACAATATTAATAGCAGCCGTATCTTTGTTCTTGTTTGTTCCCGGTCCCGGTCTCGCTCGGCTATACGTGCTCTGGTTCGTCATTGTTCTGTGTGTACCTCTACTACTACCTACCTTCACGAACGGATTTGTGCTGGGGGTCCATCCACACGTGGAACTCTCCGTTGTCTCCTACTCTCCGCCGCAATATTGGTTCGTAAACGGAAATAAACATTTCTTATTTAATTGGGAAAAACGTACATTTTTTAACGGTGCTTGGTTGGTCTTTGCTTTAACAAAAAAAAAAAAAAAAATACTTGTTAATCCTTAATTATTCTTTTTTTTTTTTTTGTCTATTTTTAACGATTCGCGATGGCGTCGATCACGCTTCTTTCTACCAAAAAAAATTTTTATTTTGTTTTCTACAAATTTTATTTTTTTTTTAAATTTGTTTTTTTACAAATTAAAATTTTTTTCTTCAAAAATTTGTTTTTAAACTTTAATTTTTTTGTTCAAATTTTATCACAACTCTTTTTCTTTTTTTCTTTTTTTCTCTCTGTTTATTTACAATTTTTCTTGTTCTTTCTCTATTCTCTATTTCCATCTGTACATTTTTTTACTCTTCTTGTGATTTTTCCCCTTTTCTTCTTGAATTTTTTTATTTTTTCCAATTTTTTCTAATCTTTCTATTTTTTTCTATTCTTTTTATTTTTTCCATTCTATCTATTTTTTCACTCTTCTTGTACTTTTTTCATGTGGTTTTTTTTTCTTTTCTCTCTATTTATTTCAATTTTTTATTTTATTTTTACTTTTTTCTATTTTAATTCTATTTTTTTCTATTTTGTTCCTACTTGTTTTTAATTTCCTTTCTATTTTTTTCTATTTTATCCCCAATTTTGTCTATTATTTCTATATTGTTCCTACTCTTTTCTATTTTATCTATACTTTTTTCTATTTTATTTATACTTTTTTTCTTTTTAATTTCTACTCTTCTTTGTTTTTCAAATTTTTTCTTTTCTATTTCTAATTTTTTCTACTCTTTTGTATTTTGTTCGTAATTTTTTTCTATTTTGTTTTAACTTTTTCTATTTTTTTCTATTATTTTCTATCTTGTTTCCATCTTTTTCTATTTTCTCTCTACTTTCTCTATTTTCTTTACAATTTTTTCTATTCTTTTCTATTTTGCTCTCACTTTTTTCATTTTTTTTCCTATTATTCCTAATTATTCTTATTTTGTTTCTATTATTTTCTATTTTGTTTCTATTTTATTTCTATTCTTTTCTAATTATTTATAATTTTTTTCAATTCTGTTTCCAATTTGTTTTCATTCTTTTTTAATTTGTCCGTTCATTTTTTATTTTAATTTTATTTTCTTTATTCTTTTTCTATTTTGTTTCTACTTTTTTCTGTTTTGCTTCTATTTCATCTCTATTCTTTTCAATTCTTTCTATTTCTTCCCTAATTTTTTCTATTTTGTTCTTTTTCTATTTTCCTCTATTTTGTTCCCACTTTTTCTGTTTTGCTTCTATTTTATTTCTATTCTTCTCCATTTTTTCAATTCTTCCATACTTTTTTCTATTTTATTTCTACTTTTTCCTACTTTTTTCTATTCTTCTCTATTTTCTACTTTCTTTATTCTGTTTCAATTTCTTTTCTTCTTTTTTTATTTGTCTCTACTTTTTTCTATTTGTTTCTACTTTTTTTAATTTTGTTTCCAATTTTTTTTATTCTTTTCTACTTTTTTCTATTTTTTATCTGTTCTTTTCTACTTTTTACTATTTTCTATTCTTTTTTATTTTTTCTCTACTTTTTTCTATTTTATTTCTATTTTCTTTTATTTTGTTTCTATTTTTTTCTATTCTTCTCTATTCTTTTCTATTCTTTTCTGTTCTTTTCTATTCTTTTCTATTCTTTTCTATTCTTTTCTATTCTTTTCTATTCTTTTCTATTCTTTTCTATTCTCTTCTATTCTTTTCTATTCTTTTCTATTCCGTTCCTACTATTTTTTATCTTGTTAATATTTTTTCTTACTTTACTCCTTTTTCCCCATCTTTTTTTTTTTTGTCTAAAACTTTTTCGACACTTTTTCTTCAAAAAAATTTTTTTTTTCAATTCGCCAATTTTTTTTTGTTCTTTCCCCTCGAAAGGTCCGCCTTCAGCGATCTTAGCGATGCGTCTTTCCCATCCGTTGCATGGTAATCTTTTACCACCGGGTGTGTGTTACACATGCGACGTGTGTGGGAAGACTTTGTCGACAAAATTGACGCTGAAGCGACACAAAGAGCAGCAACACTTTCAGCCTCTGAACAGCGCAGTCTGTGGACTTTGTCATAAAGTGTTCAGGACACTGAACAGCCTCAACAATCACAAGAGCATCTACCATCGTAGACAGAAATAAAGAAAAAAACAAATAAATTTTTTGTCATGTGAAAACGAGATTGACACGACAAAAAAGAAATTGAATGAATAATAATAATTTATATAATTGTCAATCGCGTTTTTTGAAAGCCCGAATTTTTTTTTTTTTTTTTTTTTTTTTGAAGGGCTTTTTGGATCGCGAGGAATTATCGAGCTTAGAGGCTTGTTCGTTTATAATAGCTGTTAGAGAAAAGGCAATGACTGTCGACAGACGCAGACAAGTCGGAACAGAAGATTTATCTTTCTATTTTTCAACAACCAGTGTCTTTGTGATAATTATTAATATTAAAAAATACTCGATCGCAAAATATTGTCAAATTTTGTGGAATAAAATAATCTTGCCTTTTGCAAATTTTTAGAAAAAAAATGGACGTATACATTACGAGAAGTTGAATCAAATTTTTATTAAAGTTTAGTCGTATATACGATGACAATTTAATAATTTAACTTAATAATTATTTTATTAAAATTTAATAATACTATCATAATATTTTACTTTAAAAGGAAATAAATTTTAATGAAAATTATCAATCTACTTCTTCGAGTGTATAAATTTTCGAAGAGTTACAATTTTTACAGGTCTGATTAATATTTTTCCAAAAATTTTTCTATTTTTCTATTTTTATTGAAATATTTCCGTTCATATTCAATTTTTTAATTCATTTCGAAATAAGTCGAATCCTCGCGTGTGCAATTTGAAAATAACTTTAAAAACATCTGTTCTAAATTGACTTTATACTCGAAAATATTTTTTCAGGCCATTAAACTTGTGCTCTCGGAGAGAAAAGAGAAAAAAAAAAGTTTCACGCATTTTCTAGCACTTTTTGTCAAGTTTCTAATTATAAAATATTTTTATATAGAGAAAGGAGAAAAAAAAATTTGCCAATATTTTGCTTCCCGATAAAGAATGATGTTTTCGACTCCGACAAATTTGCATAGCGACTGTCTTGTCATAGTTTTATAAAAAAAAATAAAAAAAATTCCGTGAAGAAACACAGTGCTTCCAAGTGTGTTAAAAAAAAATTGTGCAAGACCGAAAAATTCGAAAGCGATCTTAAAACAAGGAAATGTAAAATGAAAAAAAAAGGCTGGACCAGCTTCTCAAATATGCACCCGTTAAAAAAAAAGAATTATATTCGTGTTGTTACGATTAGGCGCAATTAATCGGGTGATTAAAAATACTTATTAAGTCTAAAATAAGACGTTTTACCATAAATAAAACGCTTATAGAGGATGGATGAAGACTGTCGTACTTTTTTACGCGCGAGAAAAAAAATGTCTTTATTGCGAAAGACAATTTTTAGAAAATGACGGAATTTTTCTTGCCCGTTAGGTTCGAGACTTTTTTTCTGTTTTTGAAAAAAGTGATTATTATTATTATTATTACTATTGTTAAGCGTATACGCGTGCATAAAACTGATTCGAGAGCGGTGCTACGAAAGAGCCGAGTTGGAAACGCGATTTTTTATCGCCAACTATTAGTTAGGGTCTATTAAGGTGATAAAAAGGTTAAAAAAAATAAAGGTAAAAAAAAACTTCCAGGCGTCCAAGACGCCATCGTCCAACTAACTTTTAGGATGAAAAAAAAACATGTAATGTTACAAGACTGTACGAACACTGATTAACTACAAGACTCAAGATTTTTTTATTATTTCTCACTTTATATAAAATGAGTAGAAAATTTTTTCTTTTCAGTAGAGAATCTCGCCAAGGGACAACTCTTAGAAAATTTAAAAAGAAAAAAAATCTTGAGTGAAAATTAAGATGTCTCTTAGTGAGAATTCGAATTGAAGATGCAATTAAATAATATATTTTTTATTTTAATATATTCATTCCACATGAAATGCTTTAACGGGATACTTTTTTGCATTTAGCAATTTTTTTTTTCATTTTAATTTTTTTTGCGGTGTATATACAGGACCTTATATATACAAAAGTACCTTTTACGACACTCATTCCTCTTTTTTTGAATATCGTTAACACTTTTATTTTTTCAAATGGTTTTCACCTCCTTTTTCAAAGTCTGATGTACAATACTCATATACCACACACTCGTCATCGTTCACATTTCTTTTTTCATCCACTCCATTTCGTTTTCACCCCTTTATGCAACCAAACACACTATATATGTAAACCACTACCGATTCAAAGAAAAAAAAATGCACTTCGCGCACACACCTCAAGAGTATAAAAAGTTTACCGGTTTTTTGCTGCAAAATAGAAAAAAAAGAAGTTGACAGCTATGGTCCATTGACACTGACAGATTACTATGTACTAAGTAAATAATAATAATAGCTGCATATACATATAGCCGACTACATACAATATACCTATATTTTAGTAGAACTTTGATAAGCCACGTGAAAAACAAAACCTTCTTGATGATAATTTTCCTCTTCTGATCACATTTGCATTCGTTTTTTACTATTTCTTCTGTTTTTTTTAATTTATTTATTTGTGTGTAAATGGGTTTTTAATTTTGCTTCCTTGTGAAGGAAGCTTTGTATTTTCTAAGTTTTAAATATCATTTTAATGTTTTTTTTGCCCTTTTTTTAGAGTAAATTCAAATACTGAACAAAAATAAATTAATATTCAATGAAAGTAAAATAATGTTGGAAAAAGTGAATTTATAATGAAAAAAGTAAATTAGTACTGAAACAAGTAAATTAATACTGAAAAATTTAAATTAGTACTTAAACAAGTAAATTAATACCGAAAGAGTAAAGTAATATTGAAAAAAGTAAATTAATACTGAAAAATGTAAATTAATATTGAAAAAAGTAAATTAATACTGAAAAGATTAAAATAATATTGAGAAAAGTAAATTAATACTGAAAAATAAAAAATTAATACTGAAAAAAATAAATTAATACTGAAAAAAGTAAATGAATACAGAAAAAAGTAGACTAATACTGAAACAAGTAAATTAATAACGAAAAAAGTAAAATAATATTCGACAAAGTAAATTAATACTAAAAAAAAGTTAATTGCTTAATAAATAAAAAATTAATGAATGTTGAAAAAAATTAATTAATACAGAAAAAGGTAAATTACACTAAAAAAAGTAAACTAATACCGAAGCAAGTGAATTAATACTGCAAAAAATTATAGTAATTTATAAAAGTATTCTCAAATTTTGGAAAAATTGAAAACAAAACTTTGAAGAAATTTAAAAAAAAATTTCCTACAACAAAAAGAAATAAAATTTTGGAAAAATATTTTAAGTACACGAAAAGTAAAAATTAGTGAATTTTAGTTGTATTTTTGTTCTTATTTGTAAATTTCAGTTTACTAGAAATTTTTTAACCACTTTTGTAATTACAAATTAAATTTATTAAGACCATTAAAGTAGATATTTCTTGAATTTATTTATTTATAACAAAATATTTTGGTGTTGAATTTTAATCCAAACTTGAGTCCTTTTCAAGCTTTGAAATAAATTACAAAATAAATTTGGTAATTTACAAAATAAGCAATTTTTAATTAGAAATTAGTTCGTAACAATTTTAATTGAAATTATTATTACTTCTTGTAATTTGTGTTTTACTAATGAAATTATTTTGTAAATCGAAAAAAATACTTTGTACAGTAAAAAAATTACTTTGTGCAATTAAAAAATTACTTTGTACAGTAAAAAATTACTTTGTATAATAAAAAATTACTTTGTATATTAAAAAAAAATACTTTGTAAATTAAAAAAATTACTTTGTATTAAAAAAATGTTGTTCATTACAAAAAGTAATTTTTGAAAAATATTTAAACAGAAAAAAATTTCACTCATTTGAACATTGAAAATAATTTAAAATTTCGAACATATTTTTAAAATATAACTAAACTTACGATGATGAAATTAGAAAATTTTTCAACTTTGAAACAAAATTTTGGTAAAAATTATACGAAAAGAAAAAAACCAAAACTTTTGTCAAATTCGATATTATTTACGCAGATTTTCTTAAAATTTTATTCTAAATTCCATACCTTTTTGATGTTTTTTTAGATTTTTCACACTCTGTGGCAACTCTGAAAAGAAAAAAAATCAAAATTTTAGTAAAATTAATTTTAATTAATTTTGAATCTTATGCGTAATAATTATTTAAACAATAAATTATAGTAACATTAGTAGTGATAATTTAAAATATATGAATTTTAGTAACAATTCGTGGTAATAATTTTAAACTTAAATTGTAGTCACAATTCTTATTAATAAATATAAATTAATAAATATGAATTCACAAAATTTAGAAAATTATTTACAAAGAAATAAAAAAAATTAGTTTTTCTAAACTTTTGAACATTAAAATGTTGAATTTGAATTTCTTTTACATGTGAATTCTTTAGGATCTTTTCTAAATTATTACTAAAAATCTATATTGTAAATTATAACTAAAATTAAAATTTTTTAAATTATTACTAAAAATCTACATTTTAACCTCTTCGCAGTCCAGTTGAAAATCGCTTGTGGTCCAAAAACGGTCCGAAAAAAAAAGTTTACAAACAAATATGATTTCATCATATATAAGGTTTTTAGGGTCGCTGAATTCGAATTTGAGGTTAGTTTTTGAAAATTCAAAATGGCGGATCCAATATGGCGACCAAATATGGTGGATAATTTTAAAATTAAAGCGTTTTAAGGGAAATTCATTTCTCGGGGGTTTTTGAGGTCGCTGAATCCAAATCTGAAGTCAGATTTAAAGAATTCAAAATAGCGGATCCAAAATGGCGACTTCAAAAAAAAATTTTTTTTCAGATTCGCTTAAAACTCGTTACTCGGGGGTTTTCGGGGTCTCTGATGACAAAATGTCAGATTTTCAAAATTCAAAATGGCGGATCTAATATGGCGGATGATTTCAAGATTGATGCGAAAAAAATATGAAGTTACCTCAAAAACCCCTGAGTAAACATTTTAGACAAATTTGTCAACATTCAAAAAAATTGATCGACATATTGAATCCACAATTTAGCATTTAGAAAAACGAACATCAAATTCGAATTCAGCGACCCCAAAAAACCCCGGGAACCGAATTTCGATCGAAACGCATAAATTTTGAAATTATCCGCCATATTGGATCCGCCATTTTGAATTTTGTAAAACGAACATCAAATTCAAATTCAGCGACCCCAAAAACCCCCGAGAAACGAATTTTAATCGAATCGCATCAATCTTGAAATTATCCGCCATATTGGATCCGCCATTTTGAATTTTAAAAATCTGACATCATATTTGTAATCAGAGACCCCAAAAACCCCCGAGTAACGTATTTAAAGCGAATTTGAAATTTTTTTATTTTTAAAGTCGCCATTTTGGGTCCGCCATTTTGAATTTTTTAAATCTGACTTCAGATTCGGATTCAGCGACCCCAAAAATAGTAGTATGTACTTCGCTACTAAAATCAAATCATGTTTAGTATTTTTTTTTTTGAGATGGCCATATATGGCCACAGACGCAAAGGTGGCACGACTTTTCGTGCCCATATATGGGCCATGGACTGTTAAGGGGTTAAATTGAAACTAAAATTTTTACTAAAAATTTATATTTTAAATTATTTATTTAAATATTTGAGGGACATGACTGTTATTGCAAAATATTTTTTTCTATATAAAAAAAATTAAATTTTGACTAAGAAAATATTTACTTTTTCATTTTTATTTCTATTATTAATGAAAAAAAAATTTCTTTATTTGAACGTTCAAAGTCTTAGAGTGAAATATTTTTTAATAAAATACAAACTAAAAGAAATGACAAAAATATTGTCATTTTGTAATATTTTTACAATTACAATATTCTTGAACTAAGTTAAACTAAAAATAATTCTTTTTGGACATTTTTGAATACAAAAAAATTTTTTAAATAGAGTTACATTCCGACAGGTTTGACTGTATTTTAAAATCTATTTCTAGGGATCAAGAAGGACCCAAAATTTCGAAACGCATCGTCAAAACGATTTTTTTTAAAATAAATAAATTCAAAATAATGGTCTGAATAAAATGAATAAAATGATTAAAAATTATTTTAAACAAATTATTTCAGTACACTTTTTATAAAAAAAAACTTTGCTCAAACTTGTGATTTTTGTTCAATTCCCCCTCTCCCTTTCCCCCCACCCACGAATGCTGGGACTGTAAATAAAGACTTGTATAGAATTGAAGGGGAAAAAAAAATCAAGAAGGCTTTGCCCGACCCTGAAGAATGAACTTATTAGGCAGGCTAGGTCCCGTCGTATCAACTAATCGTAGAAATGCTGACGCAAACAGCCCACGAACGACATAAAATTACATATAAATATATATATAAATAAATATATATAATATACATATACTATATTTTACAGTATGCCGATATAATTCGCCACATGAAATCCATACACGTATACAAACACACGTTTATAGATAGGCTATGATAGAATAATTTAGAATATGTTCAAATAATCGCTTCGACTTTTACACGACCACAACGACGACGACGACTACTCCATTATTATATATATTATATATTATATATAAATATATTAAAGCATAGAAAAAAATCTGATTTATATAAAATCAAGCGAAAAAAATGGTTTAGGCGAAAAAGTAAATAAGAATCCGAGAAATGGTTATCTTTCTTCTTCTTCTTTTTCACCCAAAAGAAAAGTGAAAAACAAATCTTAATTTCAAGCATCTTTCCCTCTCAAGAAAATTCAAATTTATTCAACGATTTGATTTTCAATAAAAATAATAAATTCGAGTGGACAAATTTAAAATTAAGTTCTCATTATTGGAGGTAAAAAAAGAATATATTCAAATATAAATCCATTAGAGAACAATAGAATTAAGTTTTAAGTGCAAACATGAAAAAAACAAACAAAGATAAATCAAAAAAATTGAGAAAAAAGGAACCATTGGTTGTGATTAGAAAATTAGCGAATAATCGTGTTAGAAATTCTAAACGATTTGGTAAGAAACAAAATGACTAAATTAGTTTTTAAAAATCTAAATTTTAAGAAGACTATTTTTTAAAGGTAGAATTGGAAATTATTAAATTTAAAATATTTTAATTTAGCCTTTTAGAATGAAGAAAGAAAAAAACAATTAAATTTAAATTTAAATTTATATTTTAATTTAGATTTTTAGATGAAAAATAAAAATTTCATTTAGCGCAGTCCCAAAGAACCCTAGGATAATTACTTGATTTCGTTATATTAGAATTATTGAAAAAAAAAAAAATTGCAAAGACTGCCTTTTAAAAAAATGTACTGATCTCTATTTATATAAATATCAAAAATTCATGCAATATTTTAATTTACTATTTTTAGAATTTCTTTTAGATATTTATTGTTTTTGCGAATATATGAAAAATTTGCAGATATTCAAATTTATAAAATTAGTGTTTAGTTCTCTGAAGTTGGTGTCGAAGCTGAGGGTTGAAAAAAAATTTTTTTTTTAAAGAAACGAATAGAATTGAAGTATTTTTTCAAAAAAGGGATT